CAATGCTGACTTACCTATATCAATGTTTTCTCTTCCCAGTGCCACAAGTGAGAGAAATAGTATTTCTCTGTATAAACTCCTAGGGGGTAAGAGGTGTGGAGAAAATATTAGTATTCATATAGTCTATATATGTTCTATAAAAATTTTGGGGCTAACATAAGCATGAGATAGTCTAACAAATTACTAAGCAAACAATACGAATCTTCTTAGAGGAGCAATATATGTATTTAAGAGAATGACTTACCTCTGTCTTTTAAAATGTGGACACTTATTCAGTGTCTCTAAAATCTGACTCATCGGTCCATAGACATCATTCCTTTTAATGCTTTTTACCATACTTTTCAATAGTTCCTGGCTAAATGAGTTATCACTTTTTTGTAATAAATGGACCATTGGATATTTCTGGGCTGTAAAAGAATAAAAGAGAAGATGAAGGAAAATATTATCTGAGGAAAGGAGAAAGAAATTAAGCAGCAACTTACAGATATTAAAGGAGTTACAAAGCACTAAAAATAAATTAAGGGCAAAAGATAAAGGAATAGAAATCTAATGAAGAAAGCAAAAAAGGAAAAAAAGAAGACAAATAATGACAAAAAAGACCTAAGGCTTTTTGTGGTCTCAAGTAGACAATAACTAAAAATGGTGTTTCCCTTAATACAGCCCTTGAAATTCTATATCGGCAGCCTGGGATGGAAACAAATAAAAAATAAGTAAAAGAAGAAATTGGGACAAGCAATGTGCTGAAAGCTGAATTCTACAAAACATAACCAACCCCACCATCACGTACACAGCACCCCTCAAAAAACAAAAACCAAAACCAAAAAAACACTTTGACCTCCACAGAAGGTAGCACTAAAAAAATCAAACTTAACACTCACTCTCAAACAAAAGAGTACGATTTTGACCTGTAAGACAAAAAGTAGTAGAGTAAAATAAAAGTCAGTCAGTTTAGGCTATTTAAAGCAAGTAGAGATTACTCTAATAAGAATGAAGTCAGCATTCTATGACGGCACTTACTGTGGGCATTCCAGAGGATATACAAGGGCTGTCCTGGGTCCTGATGTAATTTCATATTGTCCCATAACATTTGTATTAAAACATATTTACTATCTTCAGACATACAGTGTCGAGGGATCTGTGTTGTGGAATAACCAAACATTCATTAATGATCTTTACATGATAATTTTTGGTAAATATTTTATAAAATTCTTATAACTATTTTTAGGATGTATGTGTGCAAGACAGAAAAGAGAACAGAAAATGACTGATTTATATGTATTTGATATCTATTGAAGAAAGAAAGGCTGAGTTGAGAAGCTAATGATCTCTAAAGTAGCAGATTTAACAAAGCACTTAAGATCAGTGAGAGAGTGCCATGAGGAGCTAATTTTGCCCTGCTCATGATTGAGAGTCCACAGAAAGATGAATCCGGTAGTCCCATTCTATATAACCCAAGACCCCAGCCCAGATAACTCTGACTGACTTAACATCTTTGTCACTCGTAATGAAAATCCAGAGCACATGCACAATCAGAGGCATGAAATACAAGAAGGGAGAAGACAAAATTCTGAACTTAGAGGCTGCCATTTAGTGGCAGTGGCAGCATATGAAAAAGTAAAAACACTTTTATACAACATTATCAAAAACACAAATGAACATATAACTAATTGCCTAAATGTTAAGCAAAAATTCAGAGTAAAGGAATAAAGAGAATGGTAGCACATGATTACAATATGATTTACAGTAGTCCACCCTCATCCTTGGGGATACGTTCCAAGACCCCTAGAAGATGTCTGAAACAGCTGATAGTACTGAACCTTACATACATTTTTTCCTATCCATACACATCTATGGTAAAATTTAATTTATAAATTAGGCACAATAACAGATTAACAATAACTAATTATAAAATAGTTATAACAATATGCCAATATCACTACTCTTGTGCTTTGTGCATTATTAAGAAAAATAGGGGCTACGTGCACACAAGCACTGTGATACTGTGACAGCCAATCTGATAACCAAGATGGCCACTAAGTGATCAATGGGCAGGTAGGGTATATAACATGAATACGCTGAACAAAGGAATGATTCACATCCTGGTGGGATAATAAGAGATCTCATCATGCTACACAGAACAGCACAAAATCTAAAACATATGACTTATTCATTTCTGGAATTTCCCATTTAATATTTTCAAACTGCAGCTGATTCTGGGTAACTGAAACCACAGAAAGCAAAACTGCAAATAAGGGGGACACTACTGTACAGACATCCTCCTAAAACAAAAGCGTTAGGTTTGTTTTTGAAGGAGGTATGAGATATGAGTGGTGCTTACTCACAAACCCTTCTCGTAAGAGTCATTTCCAGTTTATTCTTGAAGCTATAACAAAAATTCAAGCACATTGTGTAAATTTTAGGAGGAGGCTAAAAAAAGACTGTCTTAATTGCTAGATGTAAGAAAAAATTGTAAATGAACTAAAACAATTCTGTTTATCTAATGATTCAGATGGTTATTAAAAACACTTAGCATAAAAGCAAACCTTACTTTGTTATCGTTAGGAATATACAAACAATACAACGGTGACAGCAGCATTGCCTTTTAGTTAATTTTTACTCTCATACCTTTGAATACTTGTTACAATGCTCAGAAGAAAGAATCAATCCAGGTAAGTTACTGGGCAAGTCAAGACGTCTAAAATACCACACCAGGTTCCAAAAAACAATTGGATGATGGTCCACAAAGTCTGCCACTGTTATTGCATGATCGCCTTCATTTTCCAACAAGCTTTCAAGTTCCTTCCACACCACTAAAGGACTAAGATATGGAACAGTGACAGGATCTGGGCTTGGAAGGTGCCATTCTAATCCTAAAGAGTCCTGTTGAATAAATAAAACCCGTAAATGGCAAATGTAAGAATGATTCATAGTAACCCATTTAAAAAAAATTTCTGTCAGTGGGCCAGGCACAGTGGCTCATGCCTACAATTCTAGCACTTTGGGAAGCTGAGGCAGAAGGATTGCTTGAAGCTAGGGGTTCAAGACCAGCTTGGCCAACACAGAGAGAGACCCTATCTCTACAAAAAATAAAAAAATTAGCTGGGTGCAGTGGTATGTGCCTGTAGTCCCAGCTACCCAGGAGAATGAGGCAGGAGGAACCCTTGAGCCCAGGAGTTTAAAGTTGCAGTGAGCTATGATGATACCACTACACCCCAAACCCAGGCAACAGAGAAAGATCTCGTCTCTCAAAAAAAAAAAAAAATTTCTTGTCATGTAAAATAAACTTTCAAAAGTGAAGGAGAAGCAAAGACTTTCTAAAAAAAAAAAAAAAAAATTAAAACGTTTATAAAGTAAAACACTTACAGTAAGCTAAGGTTCATTTATTATTGAAAAAGAAATTTTTTTTGTTTTTCTTTTTTCTTGACCTTTCAAAGAAAGGAAAAATATTTTTTAGTAAATTCAGTGTAGCCTAAGTGTACAGTGTTTATAAAGTCCACAGGAGTGTACAGTGATGTCCTAGGTCTTCACATTCACTCACCACTATCTCACTGACTCCCCCAGAGCAACTTCCAGTCCTGCAAGCTCCTTTCATGGTAAGTGCCCTATATAGGTGTACCATTTTTATTTTGCCTTTTCTATGTTTAGCCATGTTTAGAGACACACATACCGTTGTGTTGTAATTGCCTATGGTATTCAGTGCAGCACCATGTTGTACAGATTTGTAGCCTCGGAGTGACAGGCTGGACCATAGAGCCTAGGTGTGCAGTAGGCTGCACGATCTAGGTTTGTGTAAGTGCACTCTGCGATGTTCCCACAAACACAACATCGTCTAACAACGTATTTCTCAGAACATATCCTCCTTGCCGGGCAACACATGGCTGTGTATGTCTATTCTTGTGCCAGATCCCACACTGTCTTGATTACTGTAGCTTAGTAGGGGGTTTTGAAAGTAGGAAGTGTGACTCTTCCAACTAAAATATATATTTTAAAGAGAAAGCTGATGAGACT